TCAACTAATTATGGTGAGCTAAGAGCTAAATTTATCTAAGCCAGCACCTATATAGGAGGGTGCTACAAACTTATAATTTGAATGGGGGCCTTAAAGTGTTCCTAAACCCAGGACCCTGCATTCACTATATCTGGTCTCCCTGGGCCCTGCATTCACTATATCTGCTCTCCCCGGACCCTGCATTCACTATATCTGGTCTCCCCGGACCCTGCATTCACTATATCTGGTCTCCCCGGACCCAGCATTCACTATATATCTGGTCTCCCCGAACCCTGCATTCACTATATCTGGTCTCCCCGGACCCTGCATTCACTATATCTGGTCTCCCAGGACCCTGCATTCACTATATCTGGTCTCCCCGGACCCTGCATTCACTATATCTGGTCTCCCCGGACCCTGCATTCACTATATCTGGTCTCCCCGGACCCTGCATTCACTATATCTGGTCTCCCAGGACTCTGCATTCATTATATCTGGTCTCCCCAGACCCTGCATTCACTATATCTGGTCTCTCCGGACCCTGCATTCACTATATCTGGTCTCCCCGGACCCTGCATTCACTATATCCGCTCTCCCCGGACCCTGCATTCACTATATCTGGTTTCCCAGGATCCTGCATTCACTATATCTGGTTTCCCAGGACCCTGCAATCACTATATCTGGTTTCCCAGGACCCTGCATTCACTATATCTGGTCTCCCCGAACCCTGCATTCACTATATCTGGTCTCCCAGGACCCTGCATTCACTATATCCGGTCTCCACAGACTCTGCATTCACTATATCTGGTCTCCTCGGACCCTGCATTCACTATATCTGGTCTCCCCGGACCCTGCAATCACTATATCTGGTCTCCCCGAACCCTGCATTCACTATATCTGGTCTCTGCCCGGACCCTGCAATCACTATATCTGGTCTCCCCGGACCAAACTGAGCATGTGCATGTGACTACAGATTCAGTCAGTATCAGGTGGTCATTTCAAGAGGAGGGCCAGAGAAGAAGGATCAAACAGCCTTTTTACACAATGCGGATGACTAACCCTTTAGGTTCCACAGTGAGTACAGGGCTGCTGTTAGAAACCACGGCGCCCCATACAGCCAACCTGACAGGGCCACCTTCCCCAACAAAAAAACGCGCAGTTTACTATGCTTCAGTTATGAATGAACACAGTAAGTGATGGGTACTGATCCCTCATTGTGTTCATTCAGGAAAGGAAGAGGCTGGTAACTGGACGCTTCCTCCATTCTCCATCCTGAAGGATCCTATTGCAGCCTGCAGTGTGCTTGGAGCTGCTGGTGGGAAAGAGAGGAGGGAAGCCAGCAGCATTGCAAGGATGAGGGGCCTAGGCATCAGGGGAAACGTATTTATGGGTGTGGCGGGAGGTGGGGGTTTGGGCAATTAGTGGAACCGATCCCCTGTATGGCTCTCTCTATTGCAGCTGAAAGCCAGCAGGAGAGGAGAAGAAGCCAGCTATCAGCTGGCAGTAATTGCCCCTCGCTGTGCTGATCACCCTCCCTACTCACATCCTATTCAGCCAGCTGCCTGGGCCCCCCTGCTGGCCTGGGCCCCGTACAGGAGGACTGGTGGTACCCCTTATCCACAGCCCTGAGTGAGTATAACAAGCATGCTTTACTGCATATACAGACTGATTTTACTGTTGTAGGTTTTAGTAACACTTTAATGTTTGCCTTTAAAATAAAAACCATTTAGAACGGCAGGAATTGCATGGTGGAAATACACATCGGTTGCACGACGACACACATTGTTTGTATTGGACAAAAGAGAGGTGAATTTTTTACATTGCATTGTCTGCACCTTCCTTCACTCCTGTCTCAGATCTGGCCCTGAGATGTACTTAGCCCAGAGAAGACAATGGTTCTGCTCAATGAAACATAACAATTCCCGACGTAATGAATTCAATACTAAGGCATATCAGATAGGTGGGACAAGGCGCCTCTATGGCCTTTATTGTTTCTCCATCTTCTCATCTCACTCACTCAGTGAGCTCATCACAATTACAAGCGATTTAATCTCTCCCTTGTTGCATAGTGAAATCTTGTCTTTTCTCCATAATAAACACCATGTAGAGCTGCTCCGAGCGGAACTAACGGGACTGTTTTTGATTATATCACAAGTTGTTTGAAAAAAGCTCAGTGTTATTCGTGGATGGTGTCCATCCCATATGACAGCATCCCCAATATATTTTGATAATAAAATAAAAATAAACTATGTTTTGGTATTGGCTCCATCATGGCTTGTATAAAAAGAAACCAATTAAAAGGAAAGAAAATGTTCAAAAACTGTACTAAATTGCTAGTCAACATTAGCATGAGTTTGTTTTCAGCAGGTATTAACGAGTATGCTATAAACCAATGTAAGAACAGTCTGGATAAAAGCGCACAGATGTGTCCCAAAGGAAATAAGTGAATGGTATATGTCAACTGTGATTGGTGGGGAAAAAACTCACTGCTGCCATGGTAAAAACACATCGGTTTGTGGGAAGTGTGAACAGGAGCCAGGCGCTGTATAGTTTTGTGATAAAAGTAATACACCTTATATGGAGGTGTGCCTTTAATAATTCATATGGTAAAAAAATTATAATAATTAATAAATAATAATTAATAAAAAATAATAATAAAATAAAAAATTTATTTTTTACCATATGAATTATTAAAGGCACACCTCCATATAAGTTGTATTACTTTTATCACAAATCTACACAGCGCCTGGCTCCTGTTCACATATAAACCAATGTAACAATCCATTCGGGCTGTGATTTGGGCATGACTAGAGTGTGTACAAGATTTTCATTTGCTGAAATTGTTCTCCATTGCCATATGTGAACACCAACACTGCAATGCAGCCACTTTGTAGCCTGCACACCTGACCCTCATTCACCACCTTTAAAGGGAATTCAGAACTTCTCTCTGTGCTTGATCATCAGATTCAGCCTGTATCTGTAGTGATTTTGTATTGTCCTTGGTTACCTGCTTGTTAGTTGCCACACTGGACCTTCTGTAAGTCTCTCCCTGCAGCAATAGATAGCCCCCCAAAACAACAGAGAAAATCACAGTTTTATTTGAGACATTCTAGGGCTTAGTCGGTGTATGTTAAGATGATGACGCTTATGTTCTATTAGCTCACTTGGTGATACTTTTTTTTGTATTGGGAATGATTCACATCATGAATCTCACAGGACTGCTCTAAGCACTCCTGTGACATTCACATGCAATCAGAGTGCAGTGAATGGACTGAAATCGCACCAGATGGCAACATTAGTACATGCACTACTTTACGAAATGCACAGCAACCGGTTTTGTGTTGTGAACTACGTTTGGGGTGTAGTTAACACTGACACCTGCTGCAGATAGCAAGCGCACTATATATATATATATATATATTATATATATATTGTGCGTGTGTGTGGTGTGTGTGTGTTATATATGTAGTATATATAATATTATATATATATTTATTATATGTATATATATTTATATTATGTATGTGTGTGTGTTATTTATTTGTGTATGGTATGTTGTGTTGTATATATATGTGTATGTATTGTGTGTGTATAATATGTGTAGGTATTTGTGTGTGTATAATAGTGTGTATGTATGTGTGTGTATAATATTAAATATATATATATATATATTATATATAGTTTGTGAGTGTATTGGTGTGTGTGTTGTTATATATATATATGTGTGTGTGTGTGTGTGTGTGTATATATATATATTTGTGGTGTGTGTGTGTGTGTTGTGTATAGTTATATATGTGTTTGGTTTGTGTGTGTTTTTATATATATTTTATATTATATATATATTATAGTGTGTGTGTTTTTGTATATATTTATATTGTGTGAAAATTATATGTATGTATTGTGTGTGTGTGTGTATATTTTATATATATATAACAGTGTGTATTTGGATGTGTCTGAGTTTGGCAGTTGACAGTTTTTAAAGTTTGGTGGAGGGGGGATTATGGTGTGGGGTTTTTTTTCAGGGGTTGGGCTTGTGGCCCCCTAGTTCCAGTGAAGGGGAACTCCTAAGGTGTCATCATACCAAGACATTTTGGACAATTTCATGCTTCCACCTTTGTGTGAAGAGTTTGGGGATGGCCCCTTCCTTTTCCAACATGACTACGCACCAGTGCACAAAGCAAGGTAACCATAAAGACATGGATAAGTGAGTTTGGGGTGGAGGAACTTGATTGGCCTACACAATTGCACTATTTTGGTGAGCGCCTATTTCTATTAATTGCACATTTACAAGTGTTGTTTCACTTAAAGGGGCAGCTGCTAGGTTTTATTAAATTTTTATTTTAGTTCACAAATTTGATTGGGTTTGGCGCAGCTTCTTTTTTTTATTAAGAATATAATAGAGCTCAAAATATAGAGATGCAAAATGCTTTTATGTTTCTACTTAGAGCATTCAGAGATTTAGTTTAATGACTTTTACATTGTTTTTTTAATGAAAGAAAAATAAAAATGGTGCAAGAAAATATTACAAAACAGACCATAAGCAACAATTTGCAATTACATTTTGCCTGGTTATTGGTCCATTGAGTCCAATTCGCTTGCACGGGAAGTCCAATCTGAAATACTGTATCAGAGTCACTGGCTCTCATAAATGACACTTAGCATCACTGCTTAGCTTTTATGGTGAACAAGAGCTGCGGTTGGCAATGGCATTTTCTTGGTCATAGAGAGGGCAATGCGGATCTAAATGCAGCCATTAAAAGGCCTGCGGTGGAGGGATGTTGGAGATATGTTATTATACTCAGCAGACTCACCCTTAATGCAAATTATTCTAAATACATCTACGGTATATTTCCATCTAACAAGGTTTCAAAATTCTCCAACCAACATATTATTGAACAGAATTGAATTACGATTTGCTAGAAACCAAATATGGATCATATGCATATATCACTTAGGAGATCTAGTGTGTCTTATTAGCCTCCTGGACCTTTTTGGTGTCAAACTGATTGGAATATTCCCATACATTAGTGTAACCACGTTTTGCGAAGGTAACTCCATCACAGTGAGAATAGTGCCACTTGTATGAAACCTAAAGTGTTACTAAACCCAGGACTCTGCATTCACTATATCTGGTCTCCCCAGACCCTGCATTCACTATATGTGGTCTCCCAGGACCCTGCATTCACTATATGTGGTCTCCCCAGACCCTGCATTCACTATATCTGGTCTCCCCGACCCTGCATTCACTATATCTGGCTCTCCCCGGACCCTGCATTCACTATATCTGGTCTCCCCAGACCCTGCATTCACTATATCTGGTCTCCCCGGACCCTGCATTCACTATATCTGGTCTCCCCGGACCCTGCATTCACTATATCCGTCTCCCCGACCCTGCAGTCTCCCCGGACCCTATATCATCTATATCGGTCTTCCAGGACCCTGCATTCACTATATCCGGTCTTCCAGGACCCTGCATTCACTATATCTGGTCTCCCCGGACCCTGCATTCACTATATCTGGTCTCCTGGTGCATTCACTATATCTGGTCTCCCAGGACCCTGCATTCACTATATCTGGTCTCCCCGGACCCTGCATTCACTATATCCGGTCTCCCAGGACCCTGCATTCACTATATCCGGTCTCCCCAGGACCCTGCATTCACTTATAGCCGGTCTCCCAGGACCCTGCATTCACTGTATCCGGTCTCCCAGGACCCTGCATTCACTGTATCTGGTCTCCTCGGACCCTGCATTCACTATATCCCGGTCTCCCCGGACCCTGCATTCACTATATCCGGTCTCCCCGGACCCTGCATTCACTATATCCGGTCTCGCCCGCACCCTGCATTCACTATATCCGGTCTCCCCGGACCCTGCATTTCACTATATCCTGGTCTCCCCGGACCCTGCATTTACTATATCTGGTCTCCACGGACCCTGCATTCACTATATCTGATCTCCCAGGACCCTGCATTCAATATATCTGGTCTCCACGGACCCTGCATTCACTATATCTGGTCTCCCACAGTACACCACAACATGGAAATACAATTAGTTTAAGAAATATAAACTGCTAAATACCTTTTCTCATCAGCAGTTAGCACAGTCTTGTGACTTCTATCAGTGTCCAGCAGAGCAACCTTTTACCATGTGATCAGCTGTGTCCAATCACAGCTGATCACTATGTAAATAAATTTTCCAGTTATCGGCAGTACTTTCCTCCCGCTGTTACAACCTGTGGAAAGTAGTGCTGATAACTGGCAAGTCTGAAACAAGACATCTACACTGATCAGTGCCCTGATTATCAGCAGCCCCAAACATCCCAAGCAGTGCCCAACAGTGCTGCTAATCTGTGCCTGTCAGTGCCGCCTATCAGTGCCCTTCAGTGCTGCCTATTAGTGCCTATCAGTGCCCATCAGTGCCGCATATCAGTGCAGCCTCTTCAGTGCCTCTCATCAATGCCCACCAGTGCCGCCTCATCAGTGCAGCCTATCAGTGCCCATCAGTGCTGCCTATCAGTGCTGCCTCATCAATGCACATCAGTGAAGGAAAAATTACCTTGTGAGAAAAATTTTATAATTTTTTTTCCAAATTTGTGGTCTTTTTTCATTTGTTTAGCAAAAAATAAAACACCCAGTGGTGATAAAATACTACCAAAAGAAAACTTTATTTGTGTGAACAAAAATGATAAAAATGTCATATGGGTACAATGTTGCATGACTATGCAATTGTCATTCAAAGTGCGACAGCGCTGAAAGCTGTGAATTGGCCTGGGCAGAAAAGGGGTAAAAGTGTCCGGTAGGCGAGTGATTAGAGCCCACCCTTTTGCCGCCACGCACAAGTGCCACATAGGTGGCAACAGGTTAAAGGTGGAATATTCAGATTGCATACTACTCAGTTATAACTAGTTCTCTTTAAATGCAATTTTAGAGTGCTGCATTTCAAGCATTCTGAACCTCAAACAGCAGAAAATCGCTTGGCTGGCGAGTTGCAGTCTTTTATTCATAAAGCGTGGCGTGAATAATATATCTAATTATTGAGCTCGGAGCAGGCGATTCATCTTCCCCGTCCCATCATGCTCTGCTGCACCATAATCGTCGTCGCTGGCTTAAACAGTCATTTGTGAAAAATGTTACAATGTTTAAGGCAGTGACTCCTTCACCTCTGTTATTTATTAAGATGGTTAAAGTTTAATAAAAATTGTGCTGCGCCGAGCGGCTTTGCGGCTTCGTGGCTTCGCGGGCAGCGTCTGGAGAGGGCTGCAGAGACGCTGATGGTAAAAGGCTGAGCCGGCGCTTCATTCAGACTCTCGGACAAACAGAAATATAAAATCTCTCATGCCATCTGTTATACATTGTACACGTGACACCTTGGAGAGCGCGCATTGTGTCGCTGTGAAATGTTCCTGCCAGCAAAGCATTTTTCATTGTCGTGAGAAATTAGAAATGTCCTCTTTTTATGACACATTTGCATTTTAATATTTCTTTTCAGGTCTCAATTAAATCCTTCATCAGCGTCTCTGCATTGATAGGGATTGAAAAAGAAGAGTCACCTATTATATGTGTAGAGCTTTGAAATAGACGGTGAGTAGAAATGAAAAACCTTCCCCTCGTCTTAAGGCCATACTCCAGGAATAGTTTTATATTCACTATCAGGGGCGGACTGACAACTCGTGGGGCCCCCGGGCCATAGGGGATCATGGGGCCCATGTGTCCTAGCTCACACTCAAACCACACCCAAAAAGACATCTACACTGATCAGTGCCTTGATTATCAGAGCAGTCCCAAGCAGTGCCAACAGTGCCGCCTATCAGTGCCCTTCAGGCATCTCATGGGGCCCCCTACTCACACCCGGGCCCTCGGGCAGTGCACGAGTTCCCAAATGGTCAGTCCGCCCCTGTTCACTATTCACATTGGTTCAAGTGGTTTTACCCACCTAAAATCTTATATATTTCAGTTTACCAATCAATAAATGTGGTGGCTGCTTTAGTTTTTTTTTTTTTTTTTTTATTACCTGGTGATCTGACCAGTAACACACCTCCTGTATTATAGTGTCCCCCACTCTGGGTGAAAGAGCACAGGGGCACAGCAGACAGCAGCACTGTTAGTATGGGGGAAGTAAAAATGAAAAACTTTCCCCTCGTCTTAAAGCCATACTCCAGGAATGATTTTGTATTGCGTACTCACATTGGTTCAAGCGGTTTTACCCACCAAAAATCCTATATATTTCAGTTTACCAATCAATAGATGTGGTGGCTGCTTTAGTTTTTCTTTTTTTTTTTTTTAGGCTTTTTTTTTTTTTTTACCTGGTGATCTGGCCAGTAACACACCTCCTGTATTAGAGTGCCCCCACTCTGGGTGAAAAAGCACAGGGGGCACAGCAGACAGCAGTACTGTCAGTATGGGGGAAGCAGCACAGTGGCTAAATGGTTAGCACTTTCCACCTGACAGTACTTAGAGTCATTGGTTCAAATCCCAACCACGGTACCATCTGCCTGAAGTTTGCATGTTCTCCCTGTGCCTGCGTGGGTTTCCTCTCACACTCCAAAGACATGCTGGTAGGTGAATTGGCTCCTGGCTAAATTGTCCCTAGTATGTGTATGTATGAATGTGAGTTAGGGACCTTAGATTGTACACCCCTTGAGGGTTAGGGACTGATGTGAATGTACAATATATATGTAAAGTGCTGCATAAACTGACGGCGCTATATAAGTACCTGAAACAAAATAAGTAGAAATGAAAAACTTTCCCCCTCGTCTTAAAGCCATACTCCAGGAATGATTTATATTGCATACTCACATTGGTTCAAGCGGTTTTACCCACCAAAAATCTTATATATTTCAGTTTACCAATCAGTAGATGTGGTGGCTGCTTTAGTTTTTCTTTTTTTTTAGGCTTTAATTTTTTTCCTTTTTTTACCTGGTGATCTGGCCAGTAACACACCTCCTGTATTAGAGTGTCCCCACTCTGGGTGAAAGAGCACAGGGGGCACAGCAGGCAGCTGTACTGTCAGTATGGGGGAAGCAGCACAGTGGCTAAATGGCTAGCACTTCCACCTGGCAGTACTAGGGTCATGGGTTCAAATCCCCAGCCACAGTACCACCTGCTTGGAGTTTGCATGTTCTCCCTGTGCCTGCGTGGGTTTCCTCCGTGTACTCCGGTTTCCTCTCACACTCCAAAGACATGCTGGTAGGTGAATTGGCTCCTGTCTAAATTGCCCTAGTATGTGTATGTATGAATGTGAGTTAGGGACCTTAGATTGTACACCCCTTGAGGGTTAGGGACTGATGTGAATGTACAATATATATATGTAAACTGTGCTACGTAAATTGACGGCGCTATATAAGTACCTGAAATAAATAAATAAGTAGAAATGAAAAACTTTCCCCTTGTCTTAAAGCCATACTCTAGGAATTGGTTCAAGTGGTTTTACCCACCAAAAATCTTACATATTTCAGTTTACCAATCAATAGATGTGGTGGCTGCTTTAGTTTTTCTTTTTTTTTTTTAGGCTTTTTTCCTTTTTTTTACCTGGTGATCTGGCCAGTAACACCTCCTGTATTAGAGTGCCCCCACTCTGGGTGAAAGAGCACAGGGGGCACAGCAGCACTGGCAGTATGGGGGAAGAGGAGTGTTAGATGGACTATCAGATTTAAATACACTAACAAATTGAAGCCAAACTCCAGCTAACACTTTATAAGCAGTTACAGCAAACAGCTTTTTTTTTTCTTTTGGAATAAAGGTTTTACATGAATAAATAAATAAAAGTTAATCATTGTAAGCACCCCTGCCAGTATTAAATGGTTTGTCTCAACCCTGAGACTTCAGGAGAGCTTGTTCTTTTGAAAAACAACAGCATTACTGGCTGGATCACCAAATGAAAATAAGAAGAAAGCCTTAACATAGAAGACTAATGCAGCCATCACATCCAAGAGTCGGTAGGCGTCAATATAGCAAATGCTTGGTTTTGGGATTAATAGTGCTTTCAGCTTGGCGCAATGTAAGTATGCATATCATACCTGAGGGATTGTTTGAGAAGTTGATAATCAGTGTAATAGTCACGCTACTACAGTGATAGCCTGGGCCCTGTTCAGGTTCTATGCAAGCAACTGTCTCACTGTGCACTGACCAGGCCCGGACTCGCCATAGGGCACACCGGCATGTGCCCGGTGGGCCAGGGCCACGTGTCCTGTGTGTGTGTGTTGGAGGGGGTGGATTGGATCCTTGCTATATGGAGCAGTCTCTTTGCTGGACTGGGCTGTCTCTTTTCTGTATTAGGCTGTCTCTTTGCTGGATTGGGCTGTCTCTTTGCTTGATTGGGCTGTCTCTTTGCTATATGGGGATGTCTCTTTGCTGGATTAGGCTGTCTCTTTGCT